AAACACCAATGACATTCATCAATTTTAAAAAAATAGACTCACTTATTTAAATAGGCATTTTTAGTTTGAAAGTTATGATTTCTCGTTTTAATTTTTAGATGCGATTATTAATTCATTATATCATTGTTATTGTTATTCTATTTTTGTCTTATTTTTAGTTTTATGTGAAGTAGTTTTAACTTGTGTATACATATATAATGATATTGTAATGCACAAGTGAAAATTTTATATTGATATTTGTGCAATAGAACTTTAATAAATTATTATTATTCTTGTACAACTCCTCTCAGAGGAACTTCAAATTTTAATGATGGTCTTTTAGTCCAAAAATCAATAAATTTACATGTGCCAAAGGATGCTTTTTAGGCACTGAATATACCCCTCGTGGGAGGTGGCAATTTTTGTCAGCAGTTAGGCAGTTATGAGGTATAGAAACTTAGATTATCTCAAATCAACTGAAAGTCAAATTTTCCAAGCTTTTCTAAAAGGAGATTTTATTGAAGGTTGGTAAGAATGCCACTGATGTAAACTAATGTGGTGAGTCGAGGATTCAGCTTCCTCACAAGTTCACACAACCCAGCCAAAAGATCACATCCACCACAATATTTTATTTCAATCACTATTTACTTATTAAAGACAAGGAGTTCAATAAGAAGGATTTGCAATATTGCCATATATGACTTCAATATATTTACAACCGTTTTTCCTTTTAATATTGTCTTCCCACTGAACATAATCCTTTATCAACCTAGTAACTCCCTCATTAGGATTCTCTATCATTTCATCAAGGTCAGCTTCCATTGTCTTAGCAATTGTTTGTTTTCTAGGGTTATTGCACACTTAAGGTCTACATAAATTTTGTTGGGACACTACTTGCATATTGAAAATGATTTTGGAAGGGATCCACTTAAGCAGGCCTATGTGCCATAGGTGCAAAAACTTTTCATCAAATTTGTTTATCAATACTACAATCATACCCATCTCTTAAATCTCCAAAGGGTATATACATGACTGATGATGTGTGGCACACAGTATCTAGTTCTCTTTGTTCACTTTTACAAAGCTATTTTCACTTAGTTATTTTTTATTTATTAACTTTCATAGATGCTGCCTAAGTTGTGCATGAAGCAAATTTTTCTTTCCTTTTTCTGGCTGGTAGTTGTATCTAAGGTTTGAAACTGTTGGTCTCAGGGACCATTTTTTTTATTATGATGTGTAATATTTTACACACTGTCATACATTACAAATTTCAAATACAAATTACTTAGAACACTGAGAAATAGCAGAAGTGAAGAGGCTGGAGGCTAAATAGCTGCTACGTTTTCAAGTCGGCTTCCAGTTCACTTAAGTTGCTTAAATAACACAAATGAGGGAGAACAGAACTATACTTAAAGAAAATAGTAATAATGATAACGATGATAATAGTAATGACGATGATGATAAGGTAGATATTAAGGCAAATGTTTAGAGTGTTGCTCAGAGAAATTGAAGATTTTAAGTTATAATTAGTCTAGTAAGATTTTTTCATAAAGATTAGTTCCTGAATAGACAATTGTTTGTTCGCCAGAGTTATTGTACACTTAAGATTTACGTAAATTTTATTGGGACGCACATCAGTCTTGTATCCACGAATACTACCTGCATATTGAAAATTGGAAGGGATCCACTTAAGAAGATCTTTGTGCCATAGATGCAAAACCTTTAAATTATTGTGTTGATACACATTTACTGTTCGAATTTCTTGGATGTTAAGCAGATGGAGGGCACTATCTCTTTAGTTATGCAATGTACCAATAGTGGTGGGACAAAACTCCCCCATGTTTGTCTAAAGTGAGGAATCAATAATTGCTAAGAAGATACACACGTAAAATGCATCTTCTCCTCTTCTTTGTTAACCAGTGTTTGGTTAGCAGTGTGGCTGTCACTTGGGATTGAAATTTACAGAGTATTCTAAGGTTAATCACAATTATTATCTTGAAGGAAATGGTGAGTGAGTTAGCACAGCTCTTGCATCCCCAGCATCTGAATAAGTCATAAAATACCATGAGTGGTTGTTTCCCTGCATTGTTCACCGAAGCTTCTACACTGTATGTGGTCTTGAGAAAAACTAAACAACTCAAGTGGCATATCCACAGAAAATTCTCTATGCCAAGGGTTTGCTAGGTTAGGCCTCATATGCAGACAATGAAATGTTTTTCCATGCATTTTTCTGAGGAACCTCCTGACCATCCCTCTTGAGGGTATTAATCTTTGCACGTCAAAAATCTTCCTCTACAATGGGTGTATTTGCTATCTAATGCAGCTACGGCACCTTTGAGCTCACTGTAAAGATTATTGACCTGCTCTATACTGCTGCCACTCCCAGTTTCAGTAGATCACATTTACAGCATTGAAGGGGTTGTCAAAGGCTTTCACAAAATTGCAAACAAGCTGCCATCTTGAACTTTACGCACACCTCTAATGCAACATTGACAGGGTGGTCTGGCCCCACCGTGTCCATCCCACAGTACAGCCGCTTTTCTGGAGATAAAATATTTACCACAGACAAGGCTGTCATCCAAACTTTTGTCTGCGCACTCTTCCCTACTGATTGCAGAAATCTATTTGTTTCACCTCTCCTTGGGAAGTTTCCATACTTCTCCTTGACTAGTAAATATTGAAGGTATTCTTCTGGCAATTAAAATGAGATCACAAAACTGAAAACGATCTATAGGCCACGTAAGCATATACGTTTCCTATTTTTAAACATATGGTCATAGGTTTACTGACATAGTAAGCTATACATGTCTATTACAATTCTTGAAGTACCATAAGTATTTTGTCAAGAACTGTCACGAACAGTCACGTGTATTTCGTAATCGAATTGTTATGTAACGATTAGTCACGCATTTATAGTTTTGTTTGTACAGATCGTATTTTATTCCAACTTGATTGACCAGTTTTAGACTATGATCAAATTACTTGTATATATTTTTCTACACGTACAATTTTAGAACACAATTAATCTCGATAGGTCAATAAACAAATGCAAAGAGTACAAGTGTAGTTTTTACGAGTTTATAACATGGCGCCCAACGTGGGGCAGTGAGTCTCGACCATCTCAAGATGATGGAGGCCCTTCCTCGACTACGAGCTAAGCGCGTGGCAAATAGAGGAGTTGTTACGAAATTAATCGAAGAATCGGACGCAATTTTGGAAAAGGATGTCGCACTACTGGACATGAAAACGAGAAACCGGCTAACGAGGATAGATGTGATGTTAAAGGAAAAATTACAACCTATCAGCGAGCTCGACGAGCAAATATTAATCGTCAGCGAAGTTGACGAAATCATGAAGGAGGTGGAAGAGGCCGATTTTTTCGAAATGCGTCTCATGGCTGCCATCGTGAACATCTCAAAAAGCACCACACCCGCAGTACCGAAAATGTCTTTACCACAAGAGAAGTATACGATCAACGCTTCAACTCTTCCCGCCTCACCCTCGACCTCTAGCGACGCTTCAAATCCACCCGCTTCAACATCGATCTCTAGCGACGCTTTAAATCTGCCCGCTACAACCTCGACCTCTAGCAACACTTCGATTCCACCCGCTTCAACATCACCCTCTGTTAACGCTTCGATTCCCCTCGATTCATCAGCATCTTATTCGCACCCTAATTCGACGGGTTCAGCACCACGGCCATCGAAATCAAGACTACCCAAGATCACATTGCCAAAGTTCAAAGGAGATGTTACGCAATTTCGAAGTTTCTGGGATAGCTTCGAAAGCACAGTGCACACGAATACCGACCTCACGAAAATCGACAAGTTCAATTATCTGGTATCCCTGCTAGAAGGAACTGCGTCTCGCGCTATCGCTGGATTGCCAATCACCGAAGAAAATAGAGAGTTTAAGATACCTGGACGACTGACCTCGAGGACGGCTGACCGGAAGTAAATTTCGCATGTAGACCACAATGCGCATGCCTGGTCCACGCGGATTGCAGTCCTGTTTGTGTCGGGGACGTGCCGTCCACCAGTCAACGTGAGTACTGTTACTATTATTTCCCCATAAACTTCCGCATGTTTTTAGATTTTCGAACTTCATTAGGTGAACATTGTTTGTCACTTTTTTGTTTTGGGCAATAAAAACAATGACAAGCTGGTTAAAATTGTAAAAGTGATGTGCACTGTGCGCAGCCACGGTGGAGCATTTCGACTGAACACGTGCGTTAAATTTTCTTGCTTTACTAAAAAAAAATTCCCTAGCACTTGAACCCGCTTATCCTCTGAATGAAAGATATCTTATCTTGTATTAAACTTTAATCTACATGGTCCAAATGCTTTTCCCTTGGTCAGTTAGGAGCGAGAAATCAGAGAAATTGTTTTATCTGCCTTCTCTTTATTTACAGGATTAGCGAGCATGGAATGGAAGGAAGAGCACGATCTCCTTCTCTGCCGGGAAATACTCGTCTGTCAGCCATACAAATTCAAAGAAAGGACGGTCGAAAGAGGCAAAATTTGGGAAGAAATTTCGAATCACCTAAATACCTGTGAGACCGCCAAATTCCGTGTAAACAAGCGATCTGTATGAGAGCGATTCAAATTGATCAAGGAAAAGTTTAAGCGTAAAATTCGAGAGGAGGAAAATTCGTCGGGGATTGACGTGGAACCCTCTTCGGAGTTCGAACAAGCCCTAGAAGAGATTTGCTCTTTCGAAGAATCTTTCCCGGTTGAAGAGAAAGAATCCAAGCAAGCCAAAGAAGAAGAAAACAAGCACAAAGCACAAGAAATTCGAAAAAAAGCGATGGAGAGCTATGGTCAGACCAAATCAAGAATTGCCGGAGATGAAGCTCCCATGGAACCTAAGAAGAAAAAGAGAAGAGGAGGCAATGATTCCATTGACTTTCTCAGAGAAAAAT